TGAGTGGGTGTCAGATTTCTTCTAAGATATCAAATTACACACCCACCCACACCCACACTCACACCCTCAATACTCACACTCTCACCACTTCATTTCCATGTCTATTACACTTTAAAAGTCGAGCCAAAGTAATATAAATATTAGACCAAGTTTTATTTCGATTTTTGATATAAAAAATTACGTGCAAGAAAATCCAAGCGGAAAAGCAAAAGACAATAAAAATGAATATAAGCGTATCCATAAAATACGAGTGCATGGGAAAAGGATGAATATAATGACACACGTACAATGAATAAATTCAGGTTCGATATTATAATAAAGTTTAAAAAAATCTCGATTAATATCGGAAAAAACAAATGGTATTGGTGTAGTAAAAACAGTATGAGAAATTCATGGAAAGTTTAATGGAAATAGTAAGTAATAGAATATTTGTAAGAATGCTAGGTTTATTGTGCGTCTGTTTTGGAATACTTTTCCCTATATGCTTTAACAAGAATATCACCTTTTAAAGATCCTCCGACATTTTTAAGAATCTCCTCGGTTACTAAATCTGTCAACATTTTCGCGCCTGCAGGAGAATTTATATCTAGATTTTCACAACGCCCTCCTGTATTTTTAGCAATCTTTTCAAAAACAGATTTCGCTCGTTTTTCAACATAAAAAGCATGCACTGGAATATTAGAGAGTTTCAAGTTTTCAAGCTCCTTTTCATAATAGGTCTGTTGTTGAAATTTAGTTCCTGACCAGTACTCTTCACCATACTGGCTTCTTTTTGATTTTACATCGTTTTGTGAATTTGGAGGAGCGTCGCCTATCAAAATAACCTGTGTGATAGGCTCTCTTTTACTTTCTTGATTCGCGTGCCATAATCCGATTTCAACAGCTTCATCACCCCAGCCCCCATCGACTTCAATCGTATTCATAAAAGTACGTAAGTTGTCCGGTTTTGTTTCCCAAGGTGAAAACTGTAGAATCTTTTCTTCTGTACTATTATAATTTCTATAGACAGCAAGCTGAAGTTGAAATGAATCCGACAGTATATTATTTTCGCGTAAAATTGCTGAAGCCCTTTCAAACATAATATCTAATGTATTTTTACATTTATGTAACAAAGAGGACATGGAGCCTGTTGCATCCATTAAACAAACGGTCCGCGACTTTGATGAGCCCGCTGCTCCCTTATTTTCTTCAGCTAGGAAAGCTTTAACGGCTTCGATATTACCATTAGTGAGATTCAATAAAAAATTTTTAGCTTCTTTATGTTTAATTCGAGCATGATCGACAAATTTTCTATTATTATCGTATCGTGCTTTAAAAATCTCAGTACGTTTTTCATCTAAAAGCTCATATATAGTGCTATAATTCTTCGTAAGCCCAACAGCGTCCGCTAAGCGACTAAGAATTCCTTTACCTGCTCTAATATCTTCAATATCAATCTTTTCTATCTGAAATTTCTCAAGCTCACGATCAAGTAAAACCATACTATATGATCCTCTATTGCCTTGTCTTCCTGTTCTTCCCTTTATTTGTACTTCTTCTGATATTTCTTCCGAAAGAAATGTTTGAATGACATGAGTACCCCCATTTAAAAGAACAGTTTGATCATAACATATAAAATCAGTTCCTCTACCGAATGTTCTAGTAAACAGCGTTATTCTTCCTGATACAGTTGCAGATTTTATTCTTGATTCCTTTTCTTGTAGTGAAGCTTGCTCTGTTAAACAAAACACGTGATCTTTTAACAAAGTTAGCGCTTGTGAATCACGAAAATCATTTAATCTTTTTTCTGACTCAAAAAATACCAATACAGCACGCTGACCTGATGATATTCCACATAATCTATCCTCTATTTCTTGTTTTATTACATTAAAATAATCGTTCTCGTTTTCAATTTTGATATCATCTCGTTGGTTGAATTTTAAATCATTCGCACCAAACACTGACGGCATATATGTATCTCTTTTAATTTTATATACGTTCCGTATTACTTTTTTCTCAGGTTCACTTAAAGTTTTTAATGTGCCTGTTACACCCATCATGTAACTAAATTCAAGTGGAATTTCAGCATAAGAAAAACTACCACATTTGATTTCAATAGAAATATTTTTCTCCACGGTTGCTTTATTTATTTCGTTACTCTTTTCATGTTCATGGAGATAAGCAAATAAAGTTTTATAACCATAAGAAACATTATAAACAACATTATCTTGTTCGATATATGCGATTTGACCATTTTTTACAGTATAATCATGTGATTGAAAGTTACGTACGTCAAAAAGCATATCCTTGACAGCTTCGTCAACTAATTTTTTCCAATTTGGATATCTATCGACACATGCTTTATATTCAGTTGTCTTTTCCACTTGACCGAAATTCATATTTGAATTTCTTTGGCTCCATATGAGATAAACTAATGCTGTTATAGTAGGATCTCGTAAACTAGCTACAGGTGTATAAAGATTACCATAAAATTCTCGACTAAAGAAGATATCAACTTCATCTATTAACAGTATTTTAGCACGTTTATTTGCTTTAGATATTTTCGGAATGCTACTCAAATTTTGAAAAACAATCTGTTCAACTACCTGACGAATCTGACCATCTTCATTAATTATTTCTTCGCACAGTTCATTAAATGTACCATAATGTATATAATTTAGTACACCTAACGAATCAAACAATGATCGAAATGATTTATAGTCTCTTTCACTTAAGTATTGACTATAGCATGCACAATAAATATCAAAACCGAATAATGCAAGTATGGAAGCTGTAGCTCCTAATGTAATGGATTTCCCTTCACCTGTACCTATTTGCACTAAATTGTTATTTAAGTCCTCTTTCTTATCACCTATACCAAGCATACGAAATATAGCAATGATTTGAGCTGCATGCGGTTGAAGTAAATAACTATCTTGATTGTCTGAGCCCTTAGCATCAAAATAATGCTCTGCTGACTTAAGTGTCCATAATGCAAATATATGTGCTGTTAATTTTGGAATCTTACCCTTGTTTGTATCCCATTCAATATTATCTGAGTGCTGTTTATTAATTCCTATAATTAATTTAATATCCGATACTAGTGGTTCTAATTTCATATCAGGTTTTAGATATTTTTTAATTAACTGCTGATAAACTTGATGATACTCTTCGAATCGCTTTCTTAACAAATCTTTATTAATGAGATCACCGTCTAAATTAGCTAAAACATAATTTATATCATGTCTTTGTGTTTTTTCATTGAATAGAGACGTTGAGTATCCTTCAAATATTTTGTGCTCTCTTATTATATGTTGACCTATACCCATTGAATCCTGATTTAAAATTGTACCTATTTTTGAAATAGCTAAGTTATCATTAGCAAATCTTTTATAATTACTCAATAGCTCATCTATTCGCGCATCAATTTTTTCTTTGAATGCAGACATGTTCATTGCTACACGTTTCATATTTATTAGAACTGAACATACATTTTGAATTGTCTGATTAGTTTCAATAGAACACGCCCAACTTTCAATATTTTCATTAACAGTTTGCTGAATTTTTTCAAGCTTTTCTTTTACTCCACATGGAGCTAATGTCATTTCTTGTTTAAATGATACTAAATTATAATAATACTTATTAAAATCAATACTATCTATATTTGAAAAACGATTTTCTCCAAAAACACGTTTCAGAATGGCTTCAATAAGTGAAAATGTTTCGGTGATGCTTTTTCCAAATCCTGTAAGACATTCACTTTCAAATTTATTCATATCAATATCGAAAAAGAAATGACTGACTTTTTTAGCATCGATTAAAATTGAAAATTTCTTATTAAGATTTTTAAAACGCTGTGCTCGATCTTTTTCTATTTCATTGATGTCATCATTGATTATTCTAGTTTGTATTATTTCACATGTTAATTTTTTAATATATTTTGATATTGTATCTAACATCAATGAGCTAAGTGTTAGATTCATTACACATGTAACCATATTTAACATTAAATTATCTTCCTTATCTGATTCGTGACGCTCATTTTTTATTTTTATTAAGGAACTATTCCACTTAGTCACAATAGATAATACATTTTCGTACAATGTAAAATCATTGTTCGTCGAAGCTATTTTATAGTTTTTTTCACATTCATTAAAAAGTTTTATAAAAGTTTCACTAAAATTATTGAGACTTTTATCGAAATCATTTGGAAACATGTTTTCTAGAATACTTTTTGTCTTATGTCTATCTCGAAATTTGATAAATTCCAACACACAACAAATGTCATTTGTTGGTACTTCGATTTTTTCCTCGTCCAATGAGTTCTTCTCTTCTTTCGAAAAGTATTTCATACAATTAACATATACTTCTTGAAATGTATTTGCTATTTCTAATCGAATTTTCATACACAACGGTTCAATATCAAGAACCTGTCCTAATTCAGTTCTGTAAGAATCGAACTTCACAACGCTGGATAAAGCTTCTTTTATTTTATACTCTTTCAAATTTTCTTTCATGATCGATATGATTTCTTCTGTTTGTTGACGAACATATTCTTGAACTTTATCGACATAAGACATCATACCATCCACTGCTCGATACTTTTCAATCAATTCTTTCATACGCTTAATGTCTTTGCTATTACATATGCCATCTAGTTCTTTATCATTTTGTTGAATATCTTTGGTTATTTGTTCTTTGCAATGTTTAAATTCTACTTTAAGGCTTTTTTGCAAATCATCGGGTAAATGTTTAATTGCTGCTTCAAATCTTCTTATATGAATGTTATCAGGATTTGGTGGTTTCTTTTTAATGGCATCATCTAATTCTTTTCGAAATTTACTCATGATACCTATACGTAAGTCACCCAATGCTTTAACATATCTTTCATCGGTTTCCTTTACTTTTTCTAACCGATCAAATATGTCCTTTGGTGGATTCAATGTATATTCACTAATATCCTTTTCTATGTATCTTTTCACTACAACATTATCTAAAATTTCATCTTGATTGTCGTTCAATGTATCTATTTCTTGAGAAATAGGTTGTGTACAATATATTCCTAATAAGTCTTTGACTGTTTGTATATGTTTTAAACGTTCACCAGCTTCATAAAAATTACCCATATTATTGACAGCCCTAACACTACTTAAATAATTTTTCATTCGTCCTTCAATTAATCCTTTAACTTCCTGTACACAGCTATCTATCAGATCTGATTTATCCGTATATTCGGACATGTATCTCTTTGCATTTCCTATTCGTTTTAGATTATCTACTAGTGCTTTAATTGCATCGGTTTCTAATTTCGATCCAAGCATAATCGTTTGAGTTTTTGTTGCTTCTAATAAACTATATAAACTAATATTAAATACCCGTTTAGCTTGTTCAAAACAGCGCTGTCCCTGCCCAGCTTCTTTTGATGTTCTTAGCGTTTCCAAATCAATCTGAATTTCTTCGTATTTAAAATTATTAATATTTTCGATTACTCTTTTACCACGTTCACCAGCTGCATCAATAAATACTCTTTGATATGTAGAGTAAATTTCATTGTACTTTTTACCTTGTATAAACGAATCAACTGTACTTAGAGCTTTTGCTATTAATAATTTATTATGAAAAGCTTCAGTGTTCTCTTCAGAGTTTAGAAAATTTAATTCGCCTGGTAAATCTGCTGCATACTTTTCTAAATCACGCTTGCATTCGTCTTTGATTCTTCTATTCTGAAGGTATTGAAGAACAGTCGGATATTTATTTGTTATATCAGATAATTCTTCTAAACGCTCAAATAATAATGTTGCCTTCTTACATATTTCTTGTTTATCACCATTTTGAAATTCTTTTATAAATTTAAAAGAATCTTTTATTTCCTCGTGAATGATAATACTGTACTCTCTTATGAAATTTTTTAATGTTGAAAGAACAGATGCGGAATCGATTCCAAACATAATATTTATTGATTTACATTCATTTAAAAACTTAAATCCTTTTTCAGCTTCATTAAAATCAATTAACTGAGATGTTTTTTGTTTCCAAGAATCAATATTAAATGTTGCTTTGAGGTCACTAAGTATACTACCTATCTGATTTTTGAAATAGTCATTCACTGTTTCTATAGTATGAACTATATCTGGAACAATCTCTTCAACAGCTTTCATTTCATTAATTTCGAATGCTTTAACACTTATAAATGCGACATTACTAGAATTATCAAGGTCTATGTCATTTTGTACAATGACTTTTTGTAAATTTTTAACATGTTGAATAATGTGTTGTTTAGTATTATCGAGGACATCTGAATAAACATCTGTTCGATAATTTTCAATCCATTGAGCGCTTTTTAAACTCGAAATACATTTCATAAGAGCACTATAACTGATCTGCCGATTCAAGTCAAATCCATTTAATATTAATTCAATATCTCTTCTCAAATCTCTTATACACCCACAGATGTGTTCGAGTGTTTTATAATACTCTTTATTTGTTTCTGTTTCGACAGGAGGAGTTTTTCGGATTAACGTGATTTCTTCGAATAATATTTTTATTTTACTGTATGACCGTTCATTACTTAATTCGGTCATTATTTTCTCATTAGTTTGATTATAGTGTTCTAAAATTTCCTTTATAAAACCCCCGTATAAACTATCAATATCTTTTTGATCAATGTGTCTTTGTAGATCGGTCGCTTTTCTTACTGTTTCAAATAAATGTAAGCATTGCATTAAGTTTTCAATGATCACATCGTTATACATTTCTTTTGAAGTGTCTTTACTGAATTTCTTGATTAAATCACGAAAATTTTGAAGAAAACCTAATTTTAATTCGTTATATTTTCTTTTGAGAAGTTCTTTATTAAGATGATCTTCTAAAATAGTGCATGCATCAGAAAGTTTTGTTAAGCTATTTGCTATTTCGATCATATTGTTTTCCTTTAATAGACTTTCAAACGATTTAAATATTCGATCATATTCGTTTGCAAATATTTGGCAAGCATCTTTATATTTATCTTTGATCTCTTCAAAATATTTAGCAAAAGTTTTAATCTTATTTAAGCTAATCTTAGTTGATAATTTATCAAGATCTTCTGGTTTTAAATCTTTCATAATGATGTCAACTCTGTCAATGAGATTTTCAATATATGCCTGACTATGAAAAACTTCTTGTCCTACTAAATATTTCTCTTTCAATTTATCAGCTAATTTAGCATGATGCAGAGCTGTTAGATATCGTTCGATATCTTCGATATTTATAACTGTCTGATTCGTTAAGCAACGATTAAATGTTAAAACACTGTTCTGATATTCTTCATTAAGAAGTTTACTGATATATCGAATACAATCATCATAAACTTGCTTTATATCATCTTGTTCAAGTAATTGATATAAACGATTTAATTGATCTAATTTATATTCAACGAAAACATATTCATAGCGTTTTATTGCGGACATTATACTGATTTGGTGTTTTCTCACTTGTTCTTGTATAGTAGCTTTAGATTTTTCTGCAGTAAAATACTGAAATGCTTCATGAGGACGGTCAATAGAAGCAGTATCAGCTAGATCATCAAGAATGTCTCCTGGTTCATCATTAATTGGATCTAAAACAACTGATGATTTTCTTGTTTTTCTCAACATATCTTTTAAAAAACATGTAAAACTAACATTCGCTTTTTCTTCTGCATTTAATTCATCATTGACATCCTGTAACATAGCGTGAATAGTTTTCTTTTCTTCTTCGGGAAATTTTGTAAATATATAAGAAAAAGCTTGTATATGATCTTTAATATCTGGTATTAATCCAACTATGACATGAACTAACTGTTTTATACCACTACATCTATCTCCTATACTTTTATAACTAAATAATACAAGTGGCTTTACAGTTCTACACTCTTTTACTGCTTTAACAACACCAATTCCATTTGAAATATCAACTTCTGCTCCGTTAGTATCTTCAAAACCTGGAGTATCACATAGTATGATACTACCGTTAGTCGATGCTCCGACACTCCTGTAATTGACTTCAACAGAAGTAATATATCGAGTTTCAGATCGAGCAAATGGTGAAGTTGTTACTCTTTGGAGTTCAGAGTTTTTTATATTGGTAGGAGAAATATGATTTAAACCGTTTACCTTGACTCGCTTCATTGTAGAACCGGCAAAAAAATGAATAGCCGTTGATTTACCAGCACCAGTTTCTCCAAGAAAAAGAATAATATCTTTACCTTGTATTAAATGTGCAGCTTCATCAGCTTTTTGGACGAGTCGAAATAACTCCTGCATATTCAATGGACTAAGTTTTTGGAATAATTCTTTCAGTTTTGTCAATGCAGCCTTCCAATTTTTGTCTTCGATACTGATACGACATGTTTCTACCAAATTTTGAATTGATTTTGATGGTAAATCTTCATCTGCCAATCGCTTATTCAAACAGTTGAGCTGCTCTAGCATTGCTATCTCCATGTCATCTGGTATTACAATATTAGCTTTTGATAATTTTTCAATATCAATAAATTTGAGTGAAACTAAATATAACAGATTAATGGTAAATCTTTCTGCACAAGGTGGTATTGACGTAAAATCGTGATACAAATTTATCACACTTTCTTCTGTAACATGATGTTTGCTTTCTTCGTCATTTGTACGACATTCATATTCTGCAATTTGATTTGGTCGTTTGAATGCTGTTGGTTCATGGGCAGCTTGTCTCTCTTCAAGATTGGTGTTTGCACTCGACTTTCTAGATTCCGAGGTTGATTGATTTTTTTCGTAAGTTAGTGGAGACGTACTAGATTTTTCTTGAATTATTGTAGGTTCGATTTCACTCTCGGAGATTTGCTTCAATAGATGATGCTTTGATGAACGATTTATAGACACTGACGACGCAGAAGACTTGTAGTCATCCTTGGGTGAAGCGCTAGTTGATTCATCATTGTTGTGCGGTTGCTCATGTGAACCCATGATGACCATATACTGTTCGCTTATGTCTATAGCTTCTGCAGCAGTTCGCAGTAAGTTTTCAACAGTTACTTCAGCACTTTTTACTGGATCAGAATGCTTTTCAACATTTTCCCATCGGACACAGACATCATTAAAAATGTCATCTATTTCAATCTGCAAACTGTTAATATCAATATTAGACTTTTCTGCTGAGTCTATGACTTTCATGGTTTCAATTTGCATCTGTGGTTTAAATTTAATGAAGATTCCAGCCCAATGTACACTGCCTTTCTTATAAGGAATCAACGCAATATGTGCATCCTTCGTTGTTTTGCTTGCTTCTATCACCCTGTTTTTCAATTCACCATCTTCATCTCCATCAACGGCTTGAAGAGCATAAATTATTTTTGAGTGATCTTCCGATAGATTTCGTTTGAGCCCATCCAATCCATTCAATAACAGAGCGTTAATATCAATGTTCTGGCTGTGATCTTTGTAAGATTCTTTTGATTCTGCCATCATTACATATAGCTTTCCGTTTGAAGTAGATATGTGTGCTTGTTTCGCAATATATGTGAACTATTCAATTAAACGACAAATTCAAGAAAATCTACAATATATGAAGCATTGTTTATCTGTTTAAAACGAGTTGACTTTGGGTGTGGGTGAAGGTAAGGTAGGTGCGAGTGTGGGTGTGTAAAGAAAAAGAGCAGACACTTACACCCTTACCTATATCCATACCTACTCACGCCGACACCCAGACACTCATCTTGAGGGTGAGTGGTGTGGTATGTGGATGTGGATGGATGTAGGTGTGGGGAGTGATGTCATAATCCCAATACACCGGGTATTCTTCTACAAACACATAATTTACAACGTTACTCCACCAGGGTACCGTGTAACCACCTCGTTACCCCGAAATGAACTATGTATATAAAGTTGAGGAATATGAGTGGATTTGGTGTATGACCGTTTGGACAACGACATTGTCTCTTAGACTGATTTGCTTATTTCGCGAAAACGTCATGAATAGTCATGTGTGTTAGAGACGAATTATGAATAGGCTTGTTGCCATTGATCTTTCCGAAAGCTAAACTGACTGTGACGCTTGAGTTCAATTAGTTTGGATTTTGTAGATGAAATAGGATGGACTGAAATCTACCTTTCGTTAGTCGTTTGTTCGAGATGTTGCGAACCATGCATTGCTTTTAAGCACTCTGAGTTGTTTTTTTGCCTACTGGCCTGGCTTTCCGAGCACCCACACTTGTTGCTTTGCCTCCTGGTCTCACTGTCTCGGGGTAACGAGCTGGTTACACCAAATCCACTCATATCCCTCAAGTTCTATGATGAATGTATTTTTTCGTGGAGTAATGAAGTCATTGCTCCTTGGTGTAATTTGGGAAGTGAATGTTAATTTACTTTCGTTGATCTCATGTTAGGGTATCCTGACGTCTGACTATCGATACCCGGCGTAATGGTATTAAGACATCTATGGGTGTGGGTGGGTGTCGGTGTGAGCGTGGGTGTGGGTGTGGATGCCTGTTTTCTTTTGATAGACAAAACCACACCCACACTCCGAAGAACTAGGAGGTAAGAGTTCTTAGTGAATAAAACTACAATATCCTTTAGTCAGCGTGATCCGTGACTTTCATTTCTTCCGTGATCTTTCGAGAATACTTTAGATTTTATACAAAACTATTTTTAATAGACCAATAAAATATAATAAAACGACTCGCACTAAGTGCAAACTCTTGGGCGTAGCTCTTGCTCTCAACAACTTTATTGCATATAATGAATTATTCTCAATGATCAAATGTCATTGCCATTAGAAAAAAAGTGAGAATTCGTCAGTGAGAATAGTCTGCCATGAGTAATAAAGTGAGTAAGGAGAAGAATTACACGACAAGAACTCGAATTTTGCACGAAGCGTTTTATTATGTTTCATTGAGTTATCCACAATTAATTGTGCGAAATCTAAACTGTCCTTGGACGATTACAGAAGAAACATGAAAAGGGATTACATCAACTACGGCTACAGCAGCGTAGCGAAGAATTTTTGAGTGTTGGGAAATTCCCTAGCCAGATTATTTTGACGCTTCGAAGTAGGCATGAACAGTAGGAAAATCACCTGAGCTATAATTTTTCAAAGGTTCTTACCTGCTCGACAGCAGACGCTTATGAAAGAGAAAAGCAAGAAATCTCAATCAATAGACGAGATTGTTTGGTGTCTTGAGGGTGTGGGTACGGGGGTGACTGTTAAAGGAAAACAGATACTCACACCCACACCCACACCCACATTACTTGAGAAAAATATTCTTCAACTTTGAAATGTCTTATCATGTTTTATGCGAAAATTATCAAGATAAGCGTCTTTCTATCGAATAAAATAGATGAGTGTGTGGCTTCGAAGCTCAGCAACCCAGTCAGGCAAGCGTTGAAAAAAATGTCGCTTTTATGTGAAAGAAGCGGGTATTTATATGCGTTAAAAAAGTGTTTCTTTCTGAAGAAAAAAGCAAGCTCGTAAATGTTTACTTTATAAAATTCATTTTTCTCCGAAAAAAAGCTTTTTTTAATGGGTAAAAATGCGCGCTTTTTACGCATAAAAATGACGATGGGTGTGGGTATGGATGTGGGTGTGGGTGAGAATGGGCATGGATATGACTGCCTGTTTTTCTTTAACAGACACAACCACGGTCACTGTACACTGACACCCTTACACACCCTCACATGCACGCATACATACATACACACACACACACACACACACACACACACACCCTCAACTGTAAGAAAGGATTCGTTGGGTGCGCGTGAGTATTGGCATTAGGATCTGAGTGGTTGGTGGTGAGTACGGGTGTGGGTGCCTGTCCTTCTTTGCTAGACACAACCACAGTCACTCCACACCAAGGGGCATCCACTCCCAAGATTTTTTAGAAAAGCCAGTTAGAGTAAAATCGGCTCGGGTAACCGTTCGTATCGATACCGAATACTCTCGTACACATCCAACATAGGCAACCGTTGAAAAACAACCCTGTTTTAATGCGTAAAAAGCAAACATTTCTTTGCGTTAAGAAATGGGTTTTTTTTGCGAAAAAAATGAATTTCATAGCGTCAATATTTACGAACTTTTTTTTCTTCAAAAAGAAACCGTTTTTTTAACGCATAAAAATGTTTGCTTTGACGCATGAAAATGTCGTTTTTTTCGACGCTTGTCTGTGTAAGACCTGTAGGAGAGTGTTCAGCATCGCTACGAACGACTGTCCGAGCCGATTTTGCTTCAGCGGACTTTTCTACAAAATGTTGAGAGTGGGTGACCGTAAATGTGATTGTGTCTGACAAAGAAGAAGAATTAGTCACACCCATACACCCACACCCACTCCGACACTATGTTACCTCTAACTTTGTTAATTCTGTTCTTAGACTATTAGCCTTTTCATTCATCACGATATAGTTTCTTGTATTCCGTTTTTCCTTTTTTTCGTTCTTTGGCTTTATTTCATATGTTTTTTCTGTAGTTTCAGTTGAATCGTACCACTAGTTCTGTAGTGGCAGTTGTTGTAGCAGTGAATCTTGTTTAGAGAAGATCAGCTGCTTTTTTGAAGGGTCATCCCAGCCATGAGCTAATGAGTTACTTATCTTGTCACAGTTACCACCATACACTACAAGTAAGGTCTATTTATGAGTAGTGATTAAACCTTTAGCTATATGTAGACTTGGGCTTTTCGGTAATTATCTTCGTACGTACATCTTGAGGGCGTGTCTGTGTGCGAGTACTATCCTTTTCACTCTCACTCACTATTTTCACCCACACCCACCCACTCCTACATTAATTGTGACACCTGAGTTCCAAGCAGAGGTGCAGAATCTTCCTCGTGCGCCCCCGGCCGAGGGGGGGGGGAAATTTTTTAAAAACTGCATTTTTCGGGGAAATTTTTGAAAACATTTTTCCGGGGGGCGGGGGAAACTTTTGGTTTTTGGGAAGATTCTGCACCTCTGGTTCCAAGCCTACCGAGCCCGAACCCCTCGGCCTCAGTACATCCCTACACACAGTCAGATAAAACAGAGAAGAACAGTTTCGAGAAAAATGCATATCAAATTTTGACTTTACCCATTTTTCTGCGTCAAGCGTTTCATGAAAACCTTTGCAAAACCCTCACAAATTATCGCAAAACTAAAACGCCCATAGCGCATTCAAAAGTAGAGATCATGAGCAATCTAACTGTATTAATCTCGAAATCGATATTTTTATCGAAAACTGTTTTTTTTTTAGGTGTGGGGGCCCTTAAGAACAGTGAATCACTATGATTAGATCATCCTCAGAAGATTACAGATATCTTGTGGGTGTGGGTTTGGATTTAGGTGTTCTCCTTATCCACATCCACACCTTTAAGATGATGACAAAAGAATATTGTCGAAATATCAAATAAAATATAGATCTGATTAGTTAATCATGTTTGTAGCAGTTCTTCAGTAGCGACGCGAGCGGGGGGGGGGGTACTCCGTAACCCCCCCCCCCGCGTCCTGCTTTTGGAAAAAAAGACTGGGTTTTCTCCGATTTTGGGACTTCCTTTCTCCGATTTTTCAGCTGACTTTCTCGTTTGGGACTCATTTATTTTCTCCTTTTTTTCTATTTTGGATTTAAAAACTGGGATTAGGTCTGCAGAATCCCGTAAATCCCAAACCAAAAGCCTTTTTTGTTTTTTTTTGCTCATCAGTTTTGGTTAGTTAAGGCGGCAAATTTTAGAAAATGTTTCTAAAATTCATGAAAACTGAAACTGAGAAATTTGTTTTTTTTCTTTGTCGCGTTTTGTGATTACCACCCCCCCCCTCCTGATTTTAGCTCTTCGCGCCATCACTGCAGTTCTTTACTTCATTTTCGCATTATTTAAACGATCAAGTGTTTTACCCATCAATCAATTAACAGCTACACCGTTATTGATCTATTTTAGATATATGTAAAACAGTTTCATTGCATATTAGCTGCTTTCTGTTGAATCAATAACAAAAAGTATACTTGCTCGTGATACTAAACAGAATCTGTAATTAACGAAACCCATAAAGAAACTTATTTTTGAAACAATGCCAAAACTTTACGTTCATAAAATGTTATCGATAGCATTAAAGACATCAGATCAGCGCAATCTTGACCGTTATCCAGTACAGGTTCATGTTCTAGTTGATGTTGATGCTAATATAAGCAATCAATTGGAGGAACGACTACATGAGGTCAAAGATAAATATACTGGTGAATACATTCTTATCATTCCTTATGATTCGGGAAACTTTCATTGGATTGGCCTGTTAATACAATTTAAGGATGATAAACAGATTCAACGTGCTGTATATATTGATCCCGTGAACGAATCAAATTATTCTCCCATCAAATTGCAAGAACAATTTAATAAAGTTTTTTCCAACTTTATTTTGCAGCCAAGAACCGCTTTGCATAGAGGTAACCAGACCGAAAGTGCTTCGTTAATCGTTAAAAACTTGCTGGAAGCAATTGCTGAATCTAAGTGCAAACAAGTTTATCATTCAACCACCAACAAATCATCTGATCAAGTCAATAATACAATGCCGTTATCAAGTAAAACTCTTAAACTTTTTCATTTAAGAAGCATGTCTATAAATGACAGAGAAGATGACTCTGATGAATTCACTTCAACTTTTTTAGTGAAAGTACCACAAATCGATGATCCATCTAAAAAATCAGATGAATCAACCAAAGAAAGTGAGCTTTCAAAGTTTGAGACAAAACCGTGTAGTACTCTTAGTCTGGAGTTTATAAAATCTTGTTCTAAAGATGACTGTCAAATCACAAATGAAAGCCTAAAAGACACTTATAAAGGTTTTTATTTAATGCCATCGTGCACAGAGAGATTTCTACTTAGTTTACAGTACCTTATTTCTCTCAAATTAGTTGATCAGAATATTAGTTTAGATCATAGTATTGAACTATTCGATTGTAGGAAGTTAGAAATGGGTGAAGAACTTCAATGTTTAAAGGACCGTCTAAAATTAGAAGAAATTTTATCAATAAAAATTCACGACGCAGTTGAGACACTTTCAATACACATTAAAAATAAAAATTGGAGATCTTCTCTAGCTATATTAAAAGACATACAGCATGAGATAATGCCATTGAATATTTATGAGCTATTTCGATTAGTGAAAAATGTCGATGACACAGCAAATTTAATAAAAGACAAGAAGATAATCTTTTTTCTTGGTAATACGGGCTCAGGTAAATCCACAACTATACATTTTCTTGCAGGTTCTAAAATGATCAGGACAAATATCCAAGGATTGAATCATATAGCACCGACAGAGATAAGAAATTCGGATTTGAAACGAGTTGTAACAGCACCATTTGCTAAATCTATAACTCGGTGTATCACACCAGTTACTGTTTGTTTTAAAGATATAGGTGCATACGGACATGATAGTATTATCTTATGTGATAGTCCAGGTTTCGATGATACTAATGGTTCTGAAATAGATATTGCTAATGGAATAGCAATAGTTCGAGCTATACAAGCATGTGAAAGTGTAAAACCAGTTGTATTGATTAGTTACAAAAGTATTGGTGATAGATATGAAGGATTGAAGGATCTTACTCATACACTAGCTAGATTGATTCAAAATATCAAGCACCAGATCAAAGCTTTCTCTTATATATTCACAAAATATCCTGAGCATGAAAAAGAAACGGTGCATGCATCATTAGAAACTATTAACGATACACTTAGTGATCAAGAGAGATGTGATACTAATTTTATGAGTATACTTAAAGATATGCTTGAAAAAACCAAAAAGAAAGCATACGTTTTAGACCCCATTCAGGATGATCCAAGTACGATTCTTGATGAAGTTGCAGATTCTACCGCTATCAATCATCCAGAGAATGTTTTTCAATTTTTCATTACAAAAAAATCTCAAACTATTCTAGATATGCAGGTGATAAAATATGAATTGAGTATTAAATTAGCAACTAAGCGTTCAGAATATTCGTTAGTAAAATACATACTTGATCAATTAAAGTTTTTAAGTGAGCTATTAAATCAAGAATCTGTTAATCAAATTTACATAAATTGTACTAAAGATGTAACTAGGCATCTTTTTGAAGAATATCAGAAAGCGATATTGATATTGAATCATAGTTTATTAGAAGAAACAGTTTTAATTGATGAAGAGATAAAACAATATCGAACCTATGTTGATCGTGGTAGTCTGGCAGAAGATTTAAGAAAAACACATTTAGAAAATGAAGCGATTCCTAATTGTGCTTATATTGAATACTTAAATGAAAAAGTTGATAATTTAGTGGAAACTCTACAAGAAAAAGATATTAATGATTTGTCAATAAAACTCAATATAGATAAAATAAAAGTTCTTTCAGAGTACTTCGATGATGTGAATGCTCAATATAAACTTATTTGTCAATTTTTTTCAGAAAAAATAGAACAATTAGTTGATTCTTTTGAAAATTCAGTATTGTCGAATGAATTTTGCAAAAGTATTTCTATAATGACAAAAATGTATGATGCAAATACTATTTTAGGCCGTCATCTACAGACTTTCAACATTGAAAAAAAATATTCTAAAATGAAAGATTTTTTTCTAAATTATTTAAACGGTTATGTGAAAAAGTTTCATGAGATTTTTTTCAAGGAAAAACTTGAATCAGCTGATGTAGAAAACCTAAATAATTGCATATGTACACTGGAACAAGTAATGAATATATTTAATCTCGATTTGCATATCTCTAAAGTCGATGTTAATAAAATTTATGAAGAATTTTCATACAAACTTCTCAATTATTTCGAACAAATTGTAGAGAATATAAATAATGAACTTAAAAATAAACATACATTTTATAGACTAGAGCAGCTTTTCAAAGATTTAGACAGATTACGGACTATTTCAAGTATTGCGCATAAATCCAATCAAATATATTATATTACTGTTGGAAAACTAGTAGATCATATAAATGAAACACGAATATATGTTGAAGAACTTTTACGAAGTTTATTTCGAAGAGAAGAAAAAATTACTTATGATAAGATGATGAAATGCTTATCGAATCTTCAAAATGCACATTGGATAGAAAATTATAGAACACGAGCTTATTCAGAAATAATAAAAGATATTGAGCAGCAATTAATTCAACACATAAAAGAATTAGAAAAATCTATAATGAAATCGGATTTAGATCTTGACAATTTTACTAAGATTTCCGATGCTGCGAAAGTACTAACTGAAATAGATGAAATGAGGCGTTTTGAAAATTTTATTCCGATTCTAAAACAATATATAGATGAAATTAACTCAAAATTTCAAGGAATAATAAGTAATGTGTTTATCATCATCAAAGATACACTCAATTTAGGTAAATCAAACGAACAAGTTTATAATACACTTGATTATCATACAGCTGAAAAAGCACTTCTCTATTTAGATGCTTGTAAAACATTCCATATTTTGAAAAATGATTCTGTATTACTATTGAACAGTTTAGAAAATTATATAAGAAATTATATTAGTTTTATTAGAGATGAAATAAAAGGTTATTTTGACGTAATTAAGCAAAATGAAAATGATATATCAAATAAAATTGAAGCAATATCAAGTCGTTTACAAGATTTAGTAGAAATAAAAACAACATGTAATCGTATTTTTTCTTGTTTTCATAAACCTATCGAGATGATTATTAAGGATTGGAAAAAATTATTATTAGATTATTCAACTGAATTATCTGAGGAAATGGATATGTTATATTTAACACAAAGTATTGAGCTTTTCGATAAGAAATTATCAATTATAAAAATATTCAGTAACTTAGATTGGTTCTTAGAAGATGGAAAATACATGAATACTTATTATAAATATCAAGAAAAACTTCTCTCACAAATCCATGATATTGATAAGGAAATAATAGATGCTATTAAAAACTTTGATTATGAATTACTCGATGAAAAAATGGTCACATTACAATCATCAAACAAAGTTGAAAAACATTTTTATCAAAAAGCGAAACGATCTCTTAGTATAGGTTTAAATCGATTAAAGGAAGATACAAAAGGATTAACAGTGGTATTTACTCATAATATAGAAAAAGAACAAGTTAAATTAATAGTTGACAATTTAAAACGACTAGAAAAAGCTAAGTTTGTCATCGAAAAACATTTAGATGTTTCACACGCTATAGATGAATTTATTGAAGAAATAAAGAAATCGATTGAAACAAAGATGAAGTACTTTTTAGATCATATAAAAGCTCTTGTTACAAATTACAATTTTAATGAAGCTGATCAGAAAATAGATACAGTTCTTTTGGTGCGTAATCTATTAGGAAAATATTGTATGAAAAATATCTCAGATCAAATAGAAATTTTACAAAACTATGGAAAAATAGTTGTATTACCTGCTGTGATAAACAAATATTCACAGATGGATATTAGCGAATATACATTGAATCCACCAAAGAATATTTTTGAAAAACTTGCGAATGTTAATAGTACGAATCAAATTTATAGTGAAGTTTTAGATAAGCTTAGAAAAATAATTTTAGAAAAATTTCGAAACGAATTAGAACGAGCTAAAATAAAACAAACAATAGATATTACAAATGAACATATAAGAAGATTTGAATCTGCTGTTATATATTTACCTGAATCAATGAAAAATGCTCTAGAAGTTGAATTACACCACTGTACAGACGATATAAGACGTCTCATACAATATAGTGAACTTAAATTACAAGACTCATCTATTACTGAAGAAATAGATAAAATCAATAATTGTTCATTTGAGTATCAAAATTTACAAGTTATTAAATCGTATTTTAACAAAGGAAAAGAGTTAGCTTCCAAACGGATAGGCAATATTGTTGACAAAATACATCAAAACCTAGACAAACAAAATATTATGGAAGTATTAAATGATATGAAAACATTGTATAAATATAAAACAGAATTAAATATGTATTTTAATGATATTGAAACAATATACATAGAAGTAGATGTAGACATAATATGTGTATTTGAAGATGCTTATCAGTATTTTTTAAATCAAATTGTAACTGGTCATGAAGCAAAACTTATAAAACCTAATAATGATGTGTTAAAGAAAAGTTTTATCTGTTTATCTGAGTTCATAAAATTTAGAGATGATGTTCAGAATGAACAAATTTCGAATTTCATACTTCCGCAGGATTTCGATGAAAAAATGATAAGATTATCCGAAAGAATAGCTACATATTCAGCTGAGCAGGAAAAAAAATATAAAGTTGCTCTTGAGAATTTTGATGTTGGAAGTCTGGTAGATATCCTTGACACTATGAGCATATGTAATTTTTTATTAACGGAAATACAAGTTTATCACGGTCAACATATAAACAAAAACTCAATCTTTAGCAGCATAGTAGTAAATTTAGAGAAACTCACATCACGTCCGGATATGTTAGAATCTGTATGTGAAAAAATTGAAAATTTAGGAAAAGAGTTAATTAACACTATGCTATTTGACAGTAATAGAAAGTATCATACGAAAGATCGAGATGAGTTCTATCGAAAAGTAGATGAGAAATTTTCTATTCTAAGTCAATCTAAAAGTTTTCGTCCACTTCATCTAAGAATTGATGTAAATAAGCTTGAAGAAGAATGTTTACAATCAATCGAAAAACAAATTTCGATTGTTTATTTGGATGTCGAAAAATTTTTAGATAATTTTTCACAAGAAAAATTCTTAACAAGGCTAGACTATGAGAATTTCAATACGAATTTTTCTAATTTGATGTCGATCGAACGAACAATGGAAACAATACAGTTTCGAAGAAAAATAACTACTAAAAAAATCAAAAAAATAATTCGTGATAAAATTAAAATGTGGGAAAATTCTATTGAAAAAGAGCAAACGTTAGAAAATATTGCTAACAATTTAATAAAAATGAAGCTCGTTTCAATAAATATGCCTTGTCTGAACATTAATATGCCAAAACGAATAGAGGAAATTCTATCTGATTTACGACCAGTATTTAAGGAAACTGACTTTGCAACGTTAGCTGTGATTGTAAATGAAACAGGGTTCGAATAAGTCCAGATATCCTGATAAGGAACAGGTCTGAGAAGCCCACACCAGAATTTATTATCTAATTCAGTCACTAGATTACTTGATATGGTTGAAGATGAGATGGTTTTTGTTCACTACATTTTTGAAATCTCTTGTGATTCATCCTGTTAAAATGAATACAGATTCTTCATCAGTTTGTACTTTCTTGTTTCACATATTGTTTATACTCTTGATGATCTAACAACGTGATTTCGAATGTTTTTACTATTAATCATTATGTTATTTGATTCTTTGTTTCTTGATGATGTTTTTTTGTAATTGTAGTTATTGGGTTCTTGTTAAAAGTGTAGTTATATTTTTACGCATGTACTCCTCTTATTTTTCTATATAATACTTTAATAAACAATTATTTCATAAAATCATGCAAAGAATGGTCTTGAGAGTGCGGGTGTGTGTTCTACCTCGATACCAGAATAT